AGACAGCGCCCGAGGATCTGACCGGGCTGGTGCTGCTCTCAAACATCAGTACCAATAGCACGCCTTTATTGCGCGTCAAGCAGGAGCCGGTGGAGCACCATGAATCCGTGCCGGCAATGATGCCAGTGCAGCCAGTGGAGTCGACACCAATGCAGCAACGGATGGATGTGGAGCGAACGCAGTCGGAGCCGCTGGGTGGCTTGAAGCTGCTCTGCGCATTGGCATTGCAGGAGGAGGAGCAGGGCAGTAGTCTGTTCGCGACTCCAACGTCGCGCACACCTTCGTCTCGAGCGGCTTCTCCGCCCATCGAAGCGAATAGCTCGTATGGCTGTGTGCCACAGCCGGCACAGTCCTCACAGCCGTCTGATTGTTGCCCTCCACAGGAAATGTTGCACACCTCACCCACGTTTCCCTCCATGCAGGGCATTGAGCTGCCCAGCACATCCTTCGCTGCCGTAGCCGCCGGAGAGCTGACGCCCGCAAAGCGCAAAAAGCACAAACATTCCAAGTCGAACTCAGTGTCCGGGGAGAGTCGCAAATCCTCGCGCTGCAGCAAGAAGAGCAAGAAGAAGCGTCGCCACAGCATTAGTCGACAGCAGCAACTACAGCAACTGCAGCAACCGGAGGACGATGCACAGCTCCAGGGCGAGGAGCTGCAGTCGGAGCTGCGCAGCGCTCTGCACACCATTGATCCCAGTTATGCGCAGCGCTTTGGCCAGGAAGTCTTCTCCATCATGGACAATAGCATGCGCATGCGCTTGGCCGACATCACACGGCAATATCGTAAGAAGAAGCGCAAGCTCGACGAGATTTCCAAGCACAAGAAGAAGAAGAAGTGCTCCAAGCAGCTGTTGCAGCTGCAACAGCAGCAGCAGCAACAACAGCAACAACAACAACAGACGCTACCACTGCAACAGCCGCTACATCAGCCGCAGCTAACGCTCGGCTCAACGCTGTCCGGAGTCCTGGGGTAAGTTCATTTTGGCAAACTCTGAAAGGAGCAGAGCCTTGGGGACGTCTTCAACGGATTTGTTACAATTGATCATCAAATGTGTAAGATGTTTAAAACAAGAGCTGTCTGGCTTATCCAGATCTCACAGCTCAAAATCAACAGCATTCAAATACGCCCTATTCCCAGAAAAAGTATGGATCACAAATTCAATTCTGATATGGAAAAATTGTTTTATTTTTCAAGTCATCTTGAAGCAATCAGACAATTACTGTTATTTTTACTGCACACCTCGTGCAATTGCGAATTTTGTTTTGAGAGCAATTGATGAAACCGGAGTAGTTTAAAAATTAGTTCTTTTTTTATAATTTTGTTTTTGGTTTCTTTAATTTGAATCCTCTTTTTATCATTTACCAGAACTGCGTCGCCGTTGCGAGATTATAAGTTTCCGAAATTTTCAAGCGGCAACTTGCAGGCGTCTACCTTTTTGAGATTCCCAGAAAAGACGCATTCGTTTCCGCCGCCACCGCCGCTGTTGCAGCAGCCGCAGGTGGAGCCCAGTACCTTGCCAAGCAGCAACTCGCCGAGCACATCGTCGTTTGTGCGTCTCGAGCCTAGTGCTTTAGATGCGGCAGTTGCCGCTGCTCCAATTACCTCGTCCAGTTCTTCCAGCTCCTCGCACAAGCATTCGCACACGAGCAGCACAAAATCGGCGGCGCGCAAGGAGCGCAAGCTGAAAGCGAGCGCAGTCGATGCGCAAGCGGTCACCGAGGCCAAGCGACGATTTAGCGCCGCAGATGCCGAACTCCAGCTGACCAGTGAGCACCTGTACCGCGATGAGACACGTGTGCTCACCGACATGGGGGGTCTGTTCTATGCGGGTGTCATGAAGCCGCTGCGTCCGCCAGACGTGTATGCCATAACCTTGGACGGCGAGCGCGGCAACAAGTCGCATGTCATGTCGCGCGAGGACATACTCAAGGATACGGTGAGTACCGAAAGCTACTCCAATTACCTATAGCTAATAAGATCCTTAATGTTGCACAGATTCTCGAGGTGGCTCCCAAGAGTGTGGAGGATGTGCCAGTTGGCACGCGGCTGTGCGCCTATTGGAGCCAACAGTATCGTTGTCTCTATCCTGGTCGTGCCATTGACTCAGAGCCAGTCGAGGAAACAGCTCCGTCAGCAGCCTCAGCGGTGGGTGCAACGCCACAGGACTTTGTCAGCGTGGAGTTCGATGATGGTGACAGCGGCAGGATCCGCTTAAAAAATATTCGCCTTCTACTCAGCAACTATCCCATTGCAGGTGCGTCGAACAGAACACACACACACACTCATAGATATATATACATCTATTTACTTTTATATGGGAGAATGAAGCCAAATAATCTAAAATCTTTACTTGACTACACTAGAATCCTTCAAGTGGCAAACAATAATTTAAGTTTAATGCTTTCTAATGAGGTTTCATTCTCTGTTTACTGTCCTTTTTTGTGACTTCTTTATTTATGGCTGTTGTTTTCGTTTTCCTTGATTCGTTTATGCCCCGTTCCCGTCCCGCCCATGGTACAGAGTACAACGATAATCCCCTTTACTCTGTAGGCAAGCAGAAGCGTGGCACAATGCGCAGCGGCGACAGTGGCGCCGGATCCGCCCATGAGCAAACAGGCGCGCCGAGCGGCGATGATTCGCACAGCCATCATGGTTTTAGTATGAGCAGCGATAACACAACCTCGCTGGCTGCCACCATGGAGCTGTTCACACAGCGCAGCGAGAAGAAGCGCCTGAAGAAGAGTCTAAAGAAGTTAACAAAAGCCCAGAATGGAATTGGCCAGGCTGGTGGGTTGGATGACTTTCAGAATGGAAGCGCCGATGGAGTTGCGGCCGGGGACGCCGCCAGTCTGGATGATGGCAGCCGCAAGCATCATAAGCACAAGAAGCGCAAGAAGCATAAGAAGCACCATCGCAAAAATGCCAACGAAGAGGCTGAGCCGGTTCAGGATTATATGGCGACGGCTGAGGGCCTGCAACCGGCGGTAGAAGAACCTGAAAATCATGCGCCAATCATGCAACGAGTAAAGGTTGAGCTGAAAGTAAAGGCGGAGCAGTTGGACATCGAAGAGGAGACCACATCTAACTTAATGTCCGAGGTATCCGATGAGGTGATGTGCAAAGTTAAGCAGCTAACAGAGTCTGTTCTAACGTCTAAACTCCCTTTCCATGTCGTAGGTCAAGGGCGACGAGCTGGTTGAGCACAACAACTCCAAGGGCAGCAGCAAGATTGCGGCCTTTTTGCCAGAACGGCAACTGTGGGGTTGGTTTGGAACCGCCTATCGCAAGGCGGGCGTCAAGGGACGCGCCAGAAAGCAATTTTACAAAACAATCAAAAGGGGCAAGGAGACTATAACGGTAACTGTTACAAGGCTCCTATGAAAATGAGTAATGCATTAATCGTTACATTCATGAATTTCAGGTCGGGGACTGTGCAGTATTTCTATCTACGGGTAGACCGGATCGCCCCTACATTGGACGCATCGAGTCCATGTGGGAGACCACGGCTGGCAATAGAGTGGTGCGCGTGGCGTGGTTCTATCACCCGGAGGAAACCACGGGTTGTCCAAAATTGAAATATCCGGTAAGCTAAAATCTAAAATTCGAAATCTTAAAGATATGTAATATTTGTTCTTATATCCTTATAGGGTGCTCTATTTGAATCGCCACATGAGGATGAGAACGACGTGCAGACTATATCGCATCGGTGCGAGGTGCTGCAGTTTGTCAACTACGTTGGCAAGTTTGGCACCGATTCGAAGCAATATCAAACCATATATGATAACAATGATACATATTATTTAGCCGGGCACTATAACCCAAGGTTGCAAGTGCTGAAACTACAAGACGATATTCCAACTCTCGAAGAGCTGCAGGATACTACAACTACTACTACTACAACTACTACTACAGAGGATTAAGCGATGCGTGGTTAGGATTAGATATAGGCATAGACGCAGTGCATACAAAATCTATATAAATCATATATATATACGCATATATATATACAATATATACGTTATACATATATTTTACAATGCGTGAAACAAAAGAAGCAGATATATACCTTTATGTATACACATATTATTTCTATATTTTTAATTGATTAAATAACGTATTGTAAACGCAAAAAAAAAAAAAAAAAAAAAAAAAACAAAAACAAAAAACAAATTTAAGAAGAGAAAAGAACATTGTGAAAAAGAGAGAGAGATGATTCAAGGAACTAAGCGACATCCACTAAAATAGTGTATAGTAAATTCGCAAGCAATTTTAAGATTTATTTTGTATAAAAAATAAAACAAATATTGTGACGATGATTTTGAGATATAGGATTTCGTTTAAAGTTCAGTAAAAAAGGTTTAAAACTTTTAAATGTGTGCTCCTCAACTCAGTGCATCCGAGAGAGACTCACAGAAACAGCTACACTTAACATGCAACACGCAATACACAATATACAATCCACAAAACACAGCCCACAGATACACATGTATACCTAAAATATTTCACATGAAATTTAAAACATGTTTTAAAGATTTTAAGCAGGCAACATGCAGCAACTACTACTATAAATGTAACAATTCAATGTGATAGCAAAACAAAACCAGATGTTGATGTGTATAGAACGAGAGTATAAGCATAGATGATAACAWAAACAAACAAACAAACAAACAATTATGAAAACAAGCAAAAGAATGTGTTGAATATTTACATTTATTCAAGAAAAACAAAACAAAACAAAAAAACAAAAAATATATATATATAAAATCAAACCTATCTATAACCACACATATATCAATAAACTTGCCGTGATTATTGTATTATATGAACGATTCTAGGTCTATTAAGCAACTGCAAAGGTTGGCCTCTTGTACAAATTATACTCTACATTGAGTCTACACACTCGATTCTTAAATACAATACAATTTTGGTCATATTCATTCTTAAATAAGGAATGTACATGTTTACCTTTTGTAGTCGTTGGAGCTGCTTATCCTGAGTGTAGGGTGCAATGGTAATGCCTGTCTGTTGGGCTGTCAATGATGTTTGATTGGCAACGAATGTTTGGGCATGGGGCGTTGCTATCTCCATACAATTGGTGTGCTCGGCCTTATGGCAATGGAATCACATGCGTGCGTTGCTAGGCGATGCGGCCTCACATCCTGGCATCGATTAAACATTCGCAAAATTTGCATTTCATAAGTCGGGGTAAGCTTAGACTGGAATAAGGAAGGGTCGACGAATGCGTGCCTGGGAGACACAATAATTAAAAAGCTATTTGGAGATAGGGGCAGGCGATTGGCTAAGGAGTGCGAGTGGGCTGGCTCATCCCCCGCGACGCCGGGGTAACTCCCAAAATGAGCACGACACCAAAATGGTACTGCCGCAACAAATCGCAGCCGATGCACACGTTCGCGGAAATCGGAAATTTGGGCCTGGAACTGCGACGCATTACCAAGCGGATTGTGATCGATGTTAACTCGTCCATATTCAGCGATCATGTGAGTGCATTGGTCACACAGTTGATCCGGGCGGATAATCAGTTTCTCTTTGGCTGTCCAATGCTAGGATACCATTTTGGAGGAGTGCGAGCATGTGGTGGAGCTCTACTGGAGCCTGAAGGACGAAACCAAAAATGCAGATTTTCAGTCGCTCTCGAAAAAGATCAAGCGCAGCCCCTACAACGCGCTGCTCATGCGCAAGTTCAATCTGATCATGGAGCTGAACGACAGACGCTTCTGCCAGCTGACCTTCGTGCTCAAGCGCACGGTGGGTAGCTTCGTCTCATCCTGACCGATCTATAAGTATTTCTCTTGCAGCTCTGTCTGCTCTTGCGCAAGTCGATGCAGTCAGAGATGTGGCTCAACTGGGCACTGCATATCACCCAGCTGTACAACAAGTGCCGCAATGTGAACGCGAGCCAGAAGCAGTGGCCACCCAAAGCGCCAGCGGAGCAGGAGGCACCACTAGAGGAGGAAGAGAATGAGCCGAAATTGAGTGGGAAATGCAAGGAGGAGATGCATGCCAATGTGTGCAGCAATATGTATCCAGCTCTGCTAATGTCCCTCCGAAACATTGACTTTGGCTTCGTGCTGCAGGTGGGTCCGTCAAAAAGTCTTCTTCTTTGGTTTAGGAGTTTCCCGATTTGCTTTTATAGTGTGTGGCCCAAACCCGAGTAGAGCAGAATGCGTTGGACTTGATTTTTGGACTCTTCAACATGGGTGAGCAGGATGCCTGGCGTGAGCAACAGCAGCAGCACCACAACCACGAGTCCACCTCTTCAAGCTTGGAGATCCTGCGCACATTGAATATCTCCTTTGCTGCTGGCGAGTACCAACAGTACTGCGATCCTGGCCAGGACTACAAATCCATGCAGCTAGCAGCTCCAGATGCCGGCGATAATCAGAGCCTACGCTGCAAGCACACCGAGAGCTTCCTGCAGAAGGAGCGCCTCTTCATAGCACAACTTATAACCAAGGCCACGGAGATCTGTCCAACTATATTCGGTATGTTCCCTTGATCATAGCTCATTGAGAAGCGTATCCTATCATTGTTATCAAACAGATAGCCGCCGGACAGGAGAGGTGGACATGAATGCCTACATCGTGCGCGGCCTGCGTTTGCTGTGGTCCTATGTGGGCATCATATTGGATCACATATTGCTCTGGTGGATAGACACGCCGATGTCTTGCTATAATCTCACCCACATCGACTCCATACGTTGCTGGCTATTTCACCAGAGTGTGAATGGTGGGTTAATGCTTGTCATCAATAATAATTCATATATTTATGACTGTCTAAATATGTCAAAGATATACCCGAACCGGTGTACTCCACGCTACGTGGTATTGGCGAGATTCTGACTGGCTTCATGTGTAACAACATCTGGGATCAGCTCTTTCGCTTGGCTCTCGTATCGTCGAGCAATCCAAAACGTTTGGTTGAACAGGTCGTCGAGCAGTATCGTGATTTCCCCAAGAACGTAAGATTGCATAGAACTCGAATCTGAATATCTTAAATGCGGCTGGCTGCATTGCAGGAGCACGGCACGCCCACTGGTACGGTGTGGATCAGCGTCTTCTCCAACTTGGTCAACCTGAGCAATCAATACTTTGCTAACACGGATGCCCACAATAATTCGAGTCTGCTGCCAGTTGCCGAACAAATACCCATACTACACAGGCTGGGTAAGCTTGATGGAGTGTAAAGTCCTCCATGTTGTAGAGCTTTGAGCTTTCAGATCACTCGGTGCACTCGATGCGTCTGTGGGTCACCGAGCAGGCGAAGCTGCTGTGCTGCGAGTGGAAAATGGATCGCTTCTTCCAAATACTGGAGCACGATGTGAAGCAATGCCTGAGTGTCTTCACTACCTTCAAACTGCCCAAACTCACTGCCGATCTGAGCGATATACTGATGTTAGTGTGCGTGGCGCTACGCACAAAGCTCATCACTGAGGTCACAAATAATATAGATTTGCTTAAGGTAGGCTCCCAAATCCTTAACTCCCCAACTCCCAGCACCTCAGTTAGCTCATTTGCCTGCTTTGGCAGAAAACAACCGATGAATGTGTTCAGATATTGTCGGCGGTCTGCCGCATCGTCAGCCTGGCCAATTTCACGCTCTGCTTTCCGGCGGCCAGCCATTGGCAGCGTAGCGTCTACGACAACGAGGAGAAGAGCTTGTATGTGGGCTATGTGCTGGATCAGATCTTCTTGCCCACCATACGCGCCACCAAGGACATAGTCATACTGAAGCTCATCCTCAAGCTGATCTGTGAGGCCTGGCTGGACTTCATTTACAAGAAGCGCATACGCTTCAGCGTCAATGGAGCCCTGCGTCTGCTCAATGATTTCGATGATGTGCGCGAGTGGATACTCAACTGCTCCCTGCTGGACGAGCAGCAGCTGGACAAGCTGAGCAATCACGAGGTGCTGCGCATGTGCAAGGGCGTGGGCAAGATACTCCTACGCAAGCCGGAAGACATCATATCGATAACGCAGTCGCCGAGGTTTGACAAGAAGACAAGTGAGTTGCTGACCTTATTCCGAATTTGTATTGTTCTCTGAGAGCTGATCTGCTTCCTAGCCGACGCGAGTGCCCAGGACACACAGCTGCCATCCGAAATGTTCGTCTCCAATCAGAAGCACTGGCTGCAGCTGCGCGCCAGTGCCAGCAATGGGTTCCCTCTGATGAAGCTCTGCTGCGGCGATGGCATGATCTGAGCCGCAAAGCGAGTGTAGTAAAGAATAGAAATGTTTATTGTGTCGCGCAAATGCTTACAAAAATTGAAAGATCTAAATACATTGTGTGTGTATAAGGGTTTAAAGTGAGGCTTGCCTATATGTTAATGGTCTTTATGATCTATTTGGGCCCCTAGGCGGGCACTTTGCGACTAATTATCTTTATCAGCTCGTCGACGCGCTCGCTTTTGCCAGCAAATTGTTTTGGATGTGGTCCAATCATTTGAATAATCATCTGTACGTCCGGAGATACCTAAGTGATGAGAAATGACACAAGAGTTGACAGCTGTCGCTAGAAACGCTATACGAATGTGGGTCAATACCTCAAGGAAACGTGCCAGCGCCTTCAGCGTGCGAAAGATTTGGTCTTCGTTGGGACTGCTTTGGAAGAACTGCAGTATGGCCATGGCCAGCTCCACGGCAACGTCATCGAATACCTGTCGAAGAATGAGGCCAAAAATGAGCGAAGCTGCGCTAAGCGTATCCATTACCATGTCGAGTACCTACCACAGTCTTCACCTCCTTGATGGCGATATTGTAGAGGATCATGGAGCCAATGTTCTTCAGCTGCGGACAGTTGGAGAGTATGCAGTGCACGGCCACCTTGGTGGTGACGCGTATATTTGAAATGGTCTGGCCGTTGTATTCCCACTCCGAGATGTACAGCAGCCACTCTGAGGGACCCACATTCTCGAACAGATTGCAGGTCTACCAAGCGAACAAGTCTTTAGTATAACTCTGATATTCTTGAAGACTGGATGTGAAAGACTTACAAACATGGCCCAGGCCTGCTGCTCCTCAGGTGTGTGCTTGTCAATGTCCTGTGCGAAGTTCATGAGCGTGTGATCTCTGCGATCCTGGTGCAAGATTATGATCACATCATCTTTGAGGGCCGCATAGGCCAGCGTGCGTATCATATGTATCCGTGTGTCGGGCGAGAAGGCCTGAACGTCTCGGAGCACACGCTGGACAAATACCAGAAAATTGTCACCCAATGCCCATGAGCCATCGTCCTCGATCAAATACTGATGCAGCTCCTCCATGGCCACTTCCTCTTCCTTGGAAATTTTGCCATCCAACAGTTTTACCAAACACTCTAATTCAGTCTTAATCTGCGATAGATGAGATGAGTTCATAATTATTAGTTAACTGCTGGCGGTTATAAAGTCCATATAGATATATTTGTCTTGGTTTTATTGCTTACATCGATGTCTTTGCAAACCAGCGCCGGTTCGCGCGGAATCTCTTTCTCCTCGGTTGACTTGGAACGCTCTTTGCCATTCTGTGACGGCTGTTGTTGGGCTGTGGGCTCTGACATGTCCGTCTATAAATAGTAGAGTGAGAAAATTAAATAAAATAAATTTTCATATTTATAAATACAAAGACGACGCCAAAACAAAAAGTCTTGACTGCAGCAGCCGCAGCCGCAGCCGCAGCAGCAGCAAACGTCATTCGACACAATTTCCTACAACAAAAAATGTTCTTTTAATACCAAATGCTTTTTTACGAACACCTTTATTCATTCTACAAGAGATATATGCATATGTATGTACATATATATAGACATACATACATATATGTTGTAATTCACAACAGATATGAATGCTAATGGGCACTCGTGCCGAAATGTTTATAATTTCGACATTAGCATTAATTCTCGCAATTTTCTTTTAATTATAAACAACATAAAATCAAATGAAATGGGGGAAACAAAGACCAGAAACAGGACTGGAAACTTGTCAAACCAATGTGCGACAGTAAGTGATGAAAACTGAAAATAGCCGAGGTATTTTTAGTGTTTTACTTAGCATAGACACAAAAAGAAGAATCAAATTGTATAAAGTAAAATTATAAAAAGAATCGGAGCAAATTAAATGCAATTTCTTTCTAGTATCATAAAATGTCCACTCAGAAAGGTTTTCCGATTAAATTTTATAATTTATAGACTATTAATTACTCACATGCTATTTTAGTAGAAGTGACACAGAAATTCCAACGATTTCGACGTCAATAAAAGCGTGCCACAAAAATATTTTCCTTAACTTTTATATAGGTTTGTTTTCGGCTTCAATTGCGCTTTTGTTTATACAAAGTTCACTGAGATTGTTTATACTATATTATACGTCTGCAATTGTCCATATATGTAATTTATATTTTCTTAAATTCCGCTGGGAGCCGTCTTCACACGTTCCGTGTTCACCGAGAATCGTTTCGAAATTGCCCGCTGTTTTTGCCGAAAATTCCTGAAGAAAAAAAAAAAAAACTATCGGAGAATAAATGCATACATAGCAAAAAAAAACCGGTGATTATATTGTATACATATACACGTCCGTACACGTATTCGTATTCGTATTCGTATTTTGAATACATTTATATTTATATATACGCATATCTCTTTGCGAGTGGGTTTTCGTGTCGGGTTTTTAAAAATAGACAGATTTCTCTTGTGCTCTCAGGAGAACGTCGCAACGTTGCAGTTACACTGCTCAAAATTGCCTCTAATTTCGTTTAATATGAAGCATGTCCACATCTTTAATCATTACATAAAACTACTGAGTAAGCTGCTTTAAGGTTGCAGCATTATTAAGAGTTCGCTTAAGACCAAAACGTCAAAACCTCAAGAATGCGTTAAGGACAAGTGGGCGGTCTCTGGGTAAGGTCGGCAAAAACACAAAATGCTATTAACTGCCAACCAAAATACATTCGCAGCGCCACGGGCCGTCCTGTCGTATCCTGAAAGGAACAAGTCTCACATTGCGTAGCCGACATGTTGACCAAGGCCCGCGAAAAAAAAACACCATCAATTGCTTCCGAAGCGTTAAACAGAAAAAAAAATAAACGGATTATCTAAAAAAAAAAATAAAAAAAAAAAAAACAATAGCCCAAGTACTCAGCATCAATATGAGAGCCAGTGTCGAGATTTGCTTTTACCTAACAGCCATTCTTATATGCATGTACACGGCAAACGCATCGCTCGAAACCGAAAACAATGAAGTGAATGTGAGTAAATGCAGTGCAATAAAATTTCGGTTTTTTTACTATGAAATTCTAAGTGTTGTAAGAATTTCTCTTTTTTTATTTCAATGTTCCTTTTTATGGAACTGCAGTGAATGGGTCATAAAATTAGGAAGTGCTTTGATGAGAGCTTAAAGAATTTGTATGCTTCTTCTTGATGTCTTGAGAGAAAAAAACTAAATCAAAATTGACGTCTTGATAGATTGATGTTTTAAATTAAGTCTGCAGAGACCAAATTGAAATCTACAGAGATTGGTATTGTCTGAGAAGACTTAAGAGATTGATGTATTAACTGAAGTCTGTAGAGAATGAACATTAAAGTACTGAAAGGCTATAGTTGAGATATTTATGTCTTCAGAAATGTATGTAAGGAAAGACTGAATTCTTGAAATATTTAAGTCTTGACAGATAGTCTAGTCTAGGTAATATTATAGCAATATATTCCATATTCTTAAGCCTTCCATTTTTCCCATTGTCTTAACAGCACAAGCTCAGCGGTGTTATACAATGGAAATATGAGAAAAGACCATTTTGCAACGCCTTTACAGGTAAATCGTAAATCTCTTGACTGCTAGTTAGAATTAATATAATATATATTTAGGCTGTGGACGTAAGCGCACCTCGTATCCCTCATATCCGCCATTTTCGCTTATCAAACGCAATGAGCTGGAGGAGAAGCCCTACAATAACAATGAGTATCTATCGGAAGGCTTGAGCGATCTGATTGACATCAATGCCGAGCCCGCTGTTGAGAATGTACAGAAGCAGATAATGTCGCAGGCCAAGATCTTTGAGGCCATCAAGGAGGCCAGCAAGGAGATCTTCAGGCAGAAGAACAAACAGAAAATGCTCGAGAACGAACAACAGCTGCAGCAACAGCAACAGCAACAGCTATTGGAGCAGCGCGACAACAACTAATATGGCGAAACCCGATAAGGATAATTACCCCCAAGTTAAACACATGAAATCGTTTTGTAAATAAATAATCAGTCTACAAATATGTTTATATATACACACATATATGTATGTATATGTATATACATATATATATATATGTATACATATGAAGTACTCGAATATGCGCTTGGTTAGAGATATAAAATTCCATTGCAAGCATTTATTAAAATCGTGTTGACTCTATTCATACAATAAGCACGCAAATTATTTGGTGGGGCCGATAAGAAGACTTAGCTGCTATCAATTTGTTATGAACTCCATATTCGCTATCATAATGGACAGACAATGTATGTACATGTATGTGGCCTTTTGAGTTTCACAATTCTGCTCAATTGGTTTTCTTTTTGGAGAGCCGCACTCTGACGCCATCCTTGGGCAGCAGTCCAATGCCAGCGTTTTCGAATTGCAGCTCTCGTCGACTCATCACCTCGATATCGAAGTGCTGTAGGATCTTGACGATGGCCAGTTTGACATTTACGCGTCCCATGCGCTGGGCAATGCAGATGCGCGGACCCTCTCCGAAGGGCATATAGGCTATGGGATTATAGTTTTTGCTCTCATCGGCAAATCGATTGGGATCGTATTTTTCTGGATCTGGGAAATATTCGGCATCGTGGTGGATGCCATGCAGCGAGATGACCACCGGAGTGCCCTTCTTAATTACATGATTGCTGTCCGGCACCTTGTACTCCTGAGTACACTCACGGTTGAGTATTGGCAAACCGGGATACTTGCGCATTGTTTCCAGCACACATAACTCAAGGAACTTCATCTTGCTTAGCACATCGTAGCTGATATTGCCACCATTCTGCTTCAGTGTCTCATCCACTTCGGCTTGTAGGCGCTCTAAGTGCTCCGGATACTGAGCCACCTCAAAGATTGTAAAGGCTGCCGTTGAGGCTGTCGTCTCCTGTCCAGCTATGTAGAAAATGAAGGCTTGGGCGGTAATTGCCTCCAGTGATATGCTCTGCAAGTGACCTGGAATCAAGAGGTGAGTAACGTAACGAGATCAAATTCCTGCCATGCTCACCATCCTCAGAGGTTTGAATGTTCCAGCTTTTGCTGTCGTCTTCCTCGATGCTGCCCTTGTTCCTCAACTGCATGAGCAGTTGCAGTAGGTCCTTGCGCACAATGCCGTTCTGTTCCCGATATTCGATGGTGTCCTTGACAATGGCCAACATGGCCGTTCCCACGGGATTCTTTAAGCCAATGCGAAACAGAAACTTTAGGATACTGAAACGAGTCTTGCGTTAGTCTACGGCTCGATTTGAATTCACCAGCAGCTTACGAGGGCACCAGGAATAACATCATGCCAAACAACGCATTGAAGCGCGAATTGCGTCGTGCAACGGTAACCACTTTTCTGAATTTGTTGTCCGGCTGCTCATAGCTGTTCACGTCCAGCCCGAATATGACTGAGGCGATAATGTCAACGGCATAGATCTGCATCACCTCCTTCAAGTCCACCTCCTTGGCACCATTTTCGGGCAGCTCTTTCTGCAAGTGGGCCACCATTTTGTTGCCAATGTCTTCGGAGGTGCTGTACATGGCCTTCAGCTTGCCGGAGGTGAAGCAAGGCGACAGCATGTGACGCATGGAGCGCCAGCTTTGGCCACGCAGCGCAAAAATGGACGCAGACAGCGGATTATGCTTCTCGTCCACATAGACGCCCCGGTCGTGGAAGCTCGCAAAGTCTTGAGTCAAAATGCGACGAGCCAGTTCAGCATCGCGTACTAAAATAGCTGGCCGAAAGAGCAGGAAAGTGCCCAGAAAACGGTCCTTGCTATTTCTGTAGACATCGTACAGGGCCATGCCCATGGCCTTCTCCCTTCTCCAGACGCTGCCGAGGCAACCGAATGGAATACTGATATTTTCATCATACGGAAAGCCGTGCCGCTCCCAGTATAGATAATGGTGCTTCAGGTAATACCAGCCCAAGTTTAGAAGCGTTAGGGCAAACAAAAATAAATACAACATTTCAGTGTTCAATGCACAACTCGACACGACGAAGTATAAAACCCGTTTGACTGCTATCGCTTCAGTACATGCGCTATTTATACAATTCTTACATTTCATAACAATACTGTATTATTTCAGAGCAGTCGGGGAGCGACGCAGGGAGCGCGATAAGTATTCGGAGCTAAAAAAAACTTAACTTACTTAACTCTATCAGCCAGTACGAATCTATAGACATTTTGAATTACGGTAGGTTATGTTTACTGATAACTCGCCCGTAAGACAGGTGTACGGATAGTCGGCTCGATCCGTAACATAATCCGCTTGGCTCATAGTAAAAAATATATTGAATTACTTCATTTTACCCAGTTTGCTCTCTTTAATACGATAGTTTACATGGACATTTAACATAATTGCTTTAAAAATATGTCAATATGTATGCTGGGGACTGACATAATAAATATGTAAGTTTAGCTACAATAAAATATATGTATGTATATAATACAAACAGCACAGCTGGTACAACTACTTAGTCCATAAATATGATCTAATGTGCCTTCAGTTAAGGAACGAGCTACGACGTTTGGCTATCGTGTGCGCTTAGGCCTTAGCATCTATAATTTCAAAATGCAGATCGTATTGCTGATCGAAGCCGATCAGGCAATCGGACATCAGATATAATGTGAGCAGCAGACGGCCCCGACGTGGAGTTGCCTGGAAGGAGATGCGATTGGCGGAGCGAATGCCGCGCAGTGTTAAACGCTTCATGGCCAGCAGTTCGTCGTTCGCTTGTGAGCCGAGCGTTAGGAACCAAGCCTCATTCTTTGGCTTTGGATACTTTGGACTGTGTATTGAGTATCCCTGGCCGCCAGCTCTACGCTGACCGGCAGCAACGTTCAGGCGCTGCAGATCGACGCACAGTACATAGTCTTCGTTGGCATGTAGTGGCACCCAGTCGACTGAATCTTCGCTAATTGATACGGGTCGTTTGGCGTACTCCTCTTCCATGTAGCGGCCCTCTACAGAGATTTGCAGTGAAATTTCTGGCAAGCCTTGAATGACCTGTAAAAGAATGGAAATTTTTTTTTAAAAGTTCATCGGATTGCCCTGAAATATTTTAACTATACCTTGTACATCTGCTCAATCTCATGTTCCTCGAACGCATCACGCAGCGGCTGTGCTAGCACTTCGTAATCATTTCTGCAGATTTCTTTGAGTACGGGTAACGTTAGATATTCGTAATTATCGTGCTGAATGTTCAGAAACACATCCACGTTGGCTTCGGTGACACCGGGCAGCGTGAGGAACTCGCAGGCGTCGAACCAGCGTGCCTGAATGACGCACTGCATCAATTGCTGCACAACCAGACTTGTCGATAGCCAGCCACGCTCCGCAGTGTAATCTACCATCGCTTGCATGACACGCGTAGCATTGTCTAGTGCCGACTTCGTGTCCGTCAGATAATCCGAATTGGGCAGCGGCTGGCGGGAGAAGTGAGCTTGCAGCAGCAGGAATGTTTTCGTATAGGGCGAATCCCAACTGGCAGATGGAGGTCGGAAGCGAAGCACCTCGGCCAATTCTTCGTTATGTTTGTCCTCGTTGTGGCGCACAGGCTGCTGATCAAACTCATAGGAATCTGAAATGGCCAAGAGAACCTGCTTGGTGTCCATGCCCGGCTCTACATCATCCAGGAAATGCTTCATTGTGCGGTACGACAGATAGTAATAAGAGCTGATGCGACCCAGAAACGTGGGCACTAGTTGCCCATCCCGTTCGACGACGCAGGCAGCATTCGCCAATTCGTAGACGACCCGCTCCACCAGGCTGGACATGAAGGCATTCACGTTCTCCGGCTCCACGCCCTCCAGCTGATAGTACGATGGGTTACGCAGCAGTCGTCGGAAGAAATATGTCCATGTGAGATAGTCCAGGGCCGCCTGTTTGGTCTGCACTGTTCCAGCTACAATTTCAGCGTTAACATGCTCAGGCAGCACGGACAGCAGACTGGACTCGACCGGGAACGGGTCGTAGAGGAATTTCTTGTAGAAGTTCTTTTTCTCATCATGCACCAGGACGACGGCCACGCCCTCGTTGTCGAACTGGGGTCGTCCAGCACGTCCCATCATTTGCAGCACATCCGTAATGGGCATATCCACATATTTCTTTACCTTGCCGTCAAAGTATTCGGTGCCCTTGATGACCACCAGATGGGCAGGCAGATTGACGCCCCAAGCCAACGTGGCGGTGGCCACCAGGACTTGTATCTTACGATTCAGAAACAGTTCCTCCACACATTTGCGATCCGACTCCTGCAGGCCAGCGTGATGCAGCCCAATGCCAAACGCCAGGCAGAACTTCAAGTTCTGATCACGAATATTCTGAAGGATTAGCTCCATTTCACCCTCGGCGATGTGCAGGAACTGTTTGGGGTTCTCATCGCCAGCTACAAAGGTGATTAAATCCAGCGCCGTTAAGCGAGTCTGTCGGCGTGAGGACACAAATACAATGGTCGGCTCGCACGGAGAGTATGTGCGTATGGCCTGGAAAGTTGGTCGGTTCATTGTGGCCATGCGCGGGCAATAGTGCTTGCCAGGGAAGCCATTGATGTGCACCTGCAACGGCACCGGCCGCACTGATGGCTTGAAATTGTACAGGCCCATTCGTTTAATGCCCAGCCAGTTGGCCAAGTCCTGAGCATTCGCTAGCGCCGTTGACAAGCCCACAATCCGTATGGAGTGACCTGTGTGCGAGCTGATGAAATTCGTGCGGGAAACAATAACTTCGATAACTGGGCCACGATCTTCGCCCAGGAGATGGATTTCATCGATCACAATCAGCGAGACATGCTGCACATACTCGCGAGTCTGCCAGGACCGACTGATGCCGTCCCATTTCTCCGGCGTGGTGACAATCAGCTGCGATTCGCGAATAGCTTGAATGTCTGGTGTGACATCTCCTGTCAGCTCCACGACTTTAAGGCCCAGTGGCGAGCGCTCGAAGCGCTGCTGCCAGTCTGCAATGCGTTCCTTAACGAGCGCCTTTAGCGGCGCTATATACACCACTTTGGACTTGGGTTGCAGGTTTAGTGCGCGGAAAATGGCAATTTCCGCAACAATCGTTTTGCCGCTGCCCGTGGGTGCGCCCAGCAAGACATTGTTGTCCGTGTGGTACAGGCAGTGAAAGATTTGCGTCTGTATGGGATTGAAGTGGCTGAATTTGTACAGCGATTCGTAGAGCTCATTCTGCAGACAGGTTACTGGCAGTGGACGCAACGGTAACAGCTCCGTCAGTGGCGGATGGTGTTCCGGCAGCACCAGGTGCTGGAAGGACAGTGGCACACAGGTGGTGCTGCCCAGCCAAGTGTCACTGGTGACGCGTATATAGTACTGGGGTGGCAAGGGCTCCTTCAATGGAATGGTCATAACAAGCTGTTGTGACTGACCGCTAAACACGCACTTGCGACTCATTTGGAACAGCTCTGAATGGTATATGTAGTTGGACTCTGGGTCCTCGATCCAAAGCCAAAAGCTTTGACTCGTCTTTCCATGCACGCGATCGTTCCACGTGAAATCCGGCCAGATTTTTATAGAGATGCGTAACACGGTGCGGGTGATTGGCTGCAATGTGGCCTCGACTTCCAGGATAGGCAGTTCCCGTGCCGCGCGTATGACCTGCTCCGCATACCGGTCGCTGCGCAGCCATTCTTTCAGCTCACGCTGCTCCATTTCCCTCAGCCGGTAAACACTTAGGCCACGTCGTTCCAGCTTGTCAATGGTCTCTGCATTGATGGTCGGAAACTGACGTAAATGGCTATCAAAGTCCCACTGCCTACGCTCAAACATCTTGCAGAGCAGCAGCATGCGACCCGTCAAGGTAGCATTGTTCTGCCTCAGCACAATAGAAAACAGGGCTCGCGCGATTCTGCCAACATTTTGTGTTATGTAGGACATGTCGGAGCTCAACGAGAAGGACTTGACATAGCCGTTGGACAGATATGTTTGTATTAAGATGTTTACCTGAAAAGAGTACGAATCAATTAAATCATTTGGACAGGCATACAACCAATTTGATATATACCTTGCCGCAAACATTCTCGCTGCCTCCGAAGACCTTTAATTTGCAGTAGTATTCGCGTAGTTCGTCCAGTTCCTCAAGCTCGTCGTCGCGCACTTTGAGTTGTTGGAACTCCTGCGCCTGCGACATCATGGCTAGGAGCTCTGATTCGGTCATGTAAGGCTTCATGAGTTCATTGAACGTTTCCACCGTGTCGTATTTGATATAGAAATGCGAGGCAGTGCGTCCTAGGTCAGTTATGTTCATGTCCATGGTGCGCTGATTGAAACGCATCATCTTGGCCTTATCCAAGCTCATTGATGCGGACATAATCAAAGCACGCCGGCGCGCCTCCAGCGTTGGATCCTTCTGCAGCTCCGAGTACTCAATGCCATAGACATGTGGGTTGATGCGCATGCGCACAAAGAGGTAGCTAAAAAAGAGGATAGATACTTAAACAATCCAATATGAGCACTCTAGATGGTCCCTCACGTGTAGCTAAGCCACTCGATGGCCTCCTCCACATTGGATATGGTGCCCAGACAAATTTCGGCATTCAGATTATCAGCCAAACACTGCACAAAGTTGGATTCGATGGGGAATTGATTGGTCAGCAGGGAAAGATAATGATTGAGCTTGTCGTAGCTGGTGATAATAGTGCCAACACCGCTTTTATCGAACTGTGGTCGGCCTGCTCGTCCGAAGATCTGCAGAACGTCTAGTATGCCCAGGTCAACGAAGCTGCCATGCTTCGCATCGTAGATATCCGTGCCGCGTATTATGACTGCATGAGCAGGCAGATTGACTCCCCAGGCAAGGGTGGCCGTACACACAAGCACTGAGATGTGACCTTCCACAAAGTATTTCTCGACCATTTGGCGATCCGCGCGCAGCATGCCGGCGTGATGCATGGCCAGGCCGCAGGAGAACAGCTCAACCAGCTGTTTATTTCTGCTCTTCTGTATGGAACGGCAGGCCAGGCCATGGGCATTATTGTCAGCTGGCAAGAACAGGGCGCTGGTATTGTTCTGCTGCGCCAGCTCCCGCAAAACATTCGCCGTTCGCACAGTAGCATTACGTGCGTGGACGAATACCATCACCTGGTGACCTTGCTGGACCATTTCTAGGCATTTCTGATAGCAGCACTGATCCATGTCAGCAATTTGCTGCAGAGGCTTAACCGATTTAATGCCGACGAAGTTAGTGTCCAAGGGCACAGGTCGGAAGCGCGAGTCAAAGTAGAATAGACCCTTCATGGGATTGACGCGCAGAAAGTGGGCCACATCGATGTAGTTGGGAAGCGTTGCGGACAAGCCCACGATGCGTATCATGGACTGCGAGGACTCCACCAGACGTAGTGTGCGCGCCACTATAGCCTCCACTACGGGACCACGCTCACCGTGCAAGAGATGCACTTCGTCAATGATGAGCAACTGGACAAGACTGACGAGCGCCACGTCACCACTGCCTGCAATTGGTCATTAGTCGAAGTAAATAGATCTGAGCCAATTTATTGACTTACCCTTTCTGGTCACAACATCCCATTTTTTTTGCGTGGTGACCAGTATCTGCGTGGCCGTCATCTCTGCTTTGGTCAGCTGCATATCGCCCGTCAGCTCCCGCACGCTGATTTGCATTGATTTCAGGCGCTTGGAAAAGTTCTCTACCATTTCAGCGGCCAGCGCTTTCATGGGCGCAATGTAGACAATTTTGAATTGATCCCGATTGATGATACCCTGCTCCAAATGGCAGCGAATGGTGTGCACAATGGCCAACATAGCCACATTCGTCTTACCAGCTCCAGTTGGCGCACAAACCAGCATATTCTCATTGCTGTGATAGGCCACAGGATAAACGACGGATTGTATGCGATTCAGCTCCTTGCAGTTGGCAAACGCCATCTGGCCAATGTCGTCCAGCTCAGATATCTGAACGCGCCTATTGCCCACAGTAAGTGGCGGTGGCTCGCTGGCTGGTATCTTGACCTCCTCCCATTGTTTATTGTCGATTCGTTGAGCATTGTCGGGCAACGCAATGCGACCGCCGCCTATGAAGCCGGCATGTTGCTTGGCTTCCCGTTGGCTGTCGAAGACATAGGGATAGTTTATAGGTGCCGTGTAGATTGATTGCTCGGCTTTAACTGCCTTGGTGTTGAGCAGCAGTGGTTCGCGCTGCGCTGCCTCAAGCAGCTTACGCTGGTGCTGCATTCGCAACTGCTGCGCAGATATAGCAACAGCGGCACCTTCTTCGTCGCGATCCTCATTACTGTCTTTAACGTTGCGCATGATGCGCTGCAGCTTCTTCTCTTCGCGACGCTGCTGCTTGCCCAGCAGCTTCTCATGTTCCGACTGAACCACAACTGCGCTGGCCACCGTCGGACGCTTCTCAGAGCTGGCCGATGTCAGCTGCCGCTTTTGCTTCACTTGCTTGATGCGACGTGATCTTGTTGCATATTGCTCCAGTTGTTGCGCGATCTTGATGCGCTCTTGGAGCAGCTGTCCAACCAGTTCGAAGTGCTCAAAGCCTAGGAGTTCCATTAGCTCGTTCTGCAGATCTTCGTTGCTGCGCTTCGAGCCGAGTATGTCGCCAACCCGATCTAAGAGCAGCTCATCGTCAATTTTCTCGGCTATGGCCAGAAGTGTTTCCAACTCCGGGCTTAGTTTATAGTTGTCTGTGCTATGGGTAACAGTTGGCAACGAGTCGTAATTTGTCTTTAATTTCATGGTAAACTTGTTAACCACTTGATTTTTGAGCAGTGCATCGGGCGACAGGTCCGTCAGCAAGCTGGCATCCTGCCACTTGGATGGTGCGTATTTTACGCATATATCTTCGCCCCAAAGTGGCCGCTGCTCCGTCGATTTCTGCGATTGCCTCCAGCGCTTTAGAGCAAGCAGCTCATCCTCCTCCAATGCATCCCTCACAGCAAGCACACAGTTGTGTATCTGCGTTCGTTTCCGATCGAACGTGTTGCCAAACATGGTGTGCAGTCGATTGTTGGTGGCCACCAGCATCACGCGCTCATCCAGCAGCAGCCAGAACAGATACAGGGCTGCATGCTCCACTACTTGTGGCTGCTCCTCGTATCCCATGCATTCTTGCACTAAATTCCGTAGCTTTTGCAGCTGAGCTTTGGCTTCAGGCTGTTTGTTCGCCGGCAACTGTGACAGAAGTTTTGCAATTGTCTGTTCAGTTTTCCTTTAAAAATTAATTTATTAATTTKATGTATGTATGTATTTCATCAGTTGAAGCAACTGTATCTTCTTACTCGTTGGGTGTCGTCGTGGACACTACATTTTTAACAAGAAGTTCTTTCAGACTGCTGTAGCAATGCTTCCTCGATTCGAGTTCCGTTTTGGCCCGTAGCGCAGAACTCAGTCGAGGTGGTTCCCACATGTTTAACTAGATTTTATTTTATTTACCAAAAAAGCAAGATTTTTACAAATTAAAATTGGTTTGGTTGCGGTACCAGCTGTTGTTGCACAGCTGTTGCGCTTTCGTGCTATAGCGTTGCCACCTAGTCGGTTTGGTTGCTAATATCGTACCTTAAATATCGTAAAAAAAAACAGACAGTTATTTATGGTGGGAAATTCAAATAAACTGAAAACACTTTTATCATAAATATAAATTTTTTTTTTACAATGAACAAATAGGATGTAAAGAAAGTGGTTTAATCTTAGTTGTGTATTTTTTATTATAATTTATATGCGTTGCATGTCTGCTAGCAGGTTTATTCAAAACTTTTGTAACCTGTTACAAACTGTTTTGATTGCGGTAAACCCAGACACACCCACACACACTTGCGCACCCACACACACAATCGCATAGTCAGCCTCAAAAGTATGCTACATAAACTTGTTGCGCAAGCTGCAATTGTGCGTTTGGGGTTGTCTGTGCAAAGATAATTTATTATGCATCACATGTCCATCCTTACACTTGGATGTATTGCTTTGGTTACTGGTCCGCAGCATGCTTGAATGACCACTTTGAATTTAACTGCTGCGGTAGTTGTGAGTGTGTGTGTGTGTGTGAGCTTGTGAAAGTGTATAAAAAGAGATTCACTAAGAGCTCAATCCTTTCAGTTGCTGCTGCTGTTGCATGACTCGAGTGAGACCCTCACAAGACTTCCTATGAGTTTCGCAGTTTGGTGAGCTGCACTTTGTTACCAAGAATCAAACGAGCTGCACCGATATGCATTTCCAGATCATATTGCTATGTGAGTAGGCAGTGATATCTATACAACAATGATGACTATATGGATATCTACCCTTATAGGCATATGCTTAATGTGTCTTGCTTGCTCGAATGCCATACAATGTGACTCCTGTGGCAAGGAGTGCTCCAATGCGTGTGGCACCAAACATTTTCGGTAAGCTATACCGTGTCCACTCTCCAATCGCTTTAATCATATTCAGTTTTCAACAGAACCTGCTGCTTCAACTATCTACGCAAACGTACCGATCCCGATGCACTGCGTCTCAGCTCGAATAAACGACTCATTGACTTTATATTGCTGCAAGGACGCGCACTCTTCACACAGGAGCTGCACGAACGCCGCCACAATGGCACTCTTATTGACCTGGACATGAGCACCTACTACGGCTGAACGAAAACGTATATTCCGACCCGACCCAACGACGACGAAACAATGAATGGAAATGATTGAAGTGTTAATTTTTCAATAAAAAGGCGTAAAACTCTTTGGGGCAAGTGCTTTATAAAGCAGTTCAGACAATTACACTTTCATCCTTGAGGAAAAATCATGTTCTTTGATTTTGTATCAATTGCAGTTTAATTATTTGTTTTTTCCATTTCTTGTTCCATTTTTTTTTACATTTTTTTTTTATTTTTTTTGCGTTTGTATGGAAAGCTAGATTTTGTGCCACATACCAGCAGGAATGTGGCCAAATCTCGTATAGCTGTCAGTTCCTGTGTCTAAGCATCACAGGTCAGAATCTACTTCGTAAGCCTCGTCGTCTGCTGCAGTCGTCGTTTATTTTGTCTAAGCTTGAGATTCGCTAATCTCTGCGGTGGCTTGTGTTCTCGAGTCCGAGGAGAATTCATCCTTGCCACAGGCCAGGCAAGGCATCTTCTCCCGGAGCACTTGCTTGTACTTGGGATGGCTGTCAAAACCAGGCAAAGTATGTGATTAAAAGTCAATTAATATTCTTTGGACTTACCTCAAGCCATAAACAATGGGGTTGCAAACCGCGTTTGCTTTGGCGAACACCGAGCCACAAATTGTGGCAAGCGGCGACAGATGCATCGATTGAAAGATGCCCGAATAATTGATGATTGTATAGGGCGTCCAGGCGAAGAACCACAGCGAAATCGTAGTCAACGCCACCTTGGCCAACTTGATTTCGATGGCCTTGCTCTTCTCTGCCTCGGTGTTGCGCAGAGAGGCGACATTCATCTTCTTGGCCTGCTCGCGCATGGCCTTCTCGTGGGCAGCCACTGCCTGGGAAATGGGGATAAGCAATCACTAACAGTCAAAGAAATCACTCTGGCTTACTTTCAGGATGTGATAGTAGGAGAAGATGATGGTCGTCAGGGGGGTAAGGTAGACCCACATCGAGTAGACAATGATGTAGGAGCGGTTCCACCAATCTTTGGCAAAGTAATCTGTGCCGCAGGCCGTCATATTGCCCTCGGGCACATATCTATTCCAGCCGAACATCGGAAGCAGAGCCCATGTGCAACAGATGGTCCAGACGACAAGCAGGCGAAGCACAGCTGCCGTGACCGTCAGTGGCTTGCGGGCCATGCCCTTGACAATCACACAGTAACGATCGTAGGCAATCAGTGTCATGGACCAGATGGACACGCAGCCAAAGAGGGAGCCGAACAAGCCGTAGAGCTCGCACAGGAAGGGGCCCATGATCCAGGTGCCGTAGAAGCCATTGAGGACGACGGGTGGGAACATGGTGAACATCATCATGAAATCGGAGAAGGCCAGATTTACCACAAACATATTGGATGGCGTTCGCAGCGACTTGGATGACGTAAAGACGTACATCACAATAAAGTTGCCCGCCAGTGACATCACGCTTAGAGGTTGGGCAAAATTAATTGAAATATTCAAGCATGGGCAAACTTGTAGATGTTGTGACTTTGTATCTTACCCCAGCACCGCGATGACGAATCCAATGATGCCAAACCACATTGGCTCCATTGGAGGCCACTGATACCAGTAGGGATCCACCATGTGCATGATTTCAGCTGGCACACTCTCCGCCAGGCTGAGATTGCTGCCATCTCGCAGATGCGCATAAGTGGGGTTACTCAGACTTATCATGGCTCAGCTTGTCCAATTCTAGATCTTGTCGGTGGTCGAACTTTGTTTGTACTTAGGCTGTTATGGATGTCTGTCCATAGCAGTTGCAATAACTATCAAGATTTCTCTTGGCGCCGGACTGGACGCGACTGCACTGGGCCGGCCTATGGGGCTGCCTTTATATGTGGCCAGGGTCTTGGAAAACACTTGAGTCTAGCCAGTCTTAGACTAATTGCTAGCTAATCCAATTATCCGTCACTTGGCCAATCCAAAGTCGTTCAATTTTAAATTCGTCTCCCCAATAGCTGCAAATTTGTTGCGTCGGATTAGCGACAAACGCGTCATTTCCCAGTCCAAGTCGCCCAAGTCATGGTCAAGTTTAAGGCAAACCAAACCTACCCACCCCAATCGACCAATTAGATTAGGACAAATGCTCTCTTGCCTCACCTTTTATTCATACACATACACACACACTTATATCTATTTCATTATCTGGCTTTAAGCGTGCCAATTATAGCCCAGCTTGCGAGCTCCTCTCATTACCGCATGCAGCTGAAACTCCAGAGTGCCATACGACTCCATTGAAAGTCCTGAGCATATAGGATGAGATAATACTAGTTATATTGCTATAGTGCGATTTGCTTACCCTTGGACTGCGCACTGTCTAGCAGTATCTTGGGATTCTTTAGCTCCGGCTGGCGTCGCAACAGCCAACTGGTTATATCGCCCAGCATATTGGGACACTTGGGCCTTAGGATTGGCGCTTGATTTAGACTTGAGATGTGCTCGTCGACCTGCTGATGGCCTCCGAAGATGGGCATATAGACGTGGGCATAGCCCACCAAACTCTCGTTTCCAGTTTGATTCTGTCCGAAGACGCTGACCAGGATCTGTGGCCCTGCAAAGAGATTGTGATTAGAGCAACTGCATCTGCCCAGGCTGCCCGGGCACTTACAGCCGAACGGACTGGTGCTCTTGTAGGTGACTTCGATAGGCATATTGAAGACAATTTTGTCATTAAAGTGCCCAGTTTTATTAGTCGACATCTGCGTGATTCCATACTGCGGACCCGACACCAACTGCCAGTCCGGCCCAGCGACTAGCTCATAGCGACAGAATATGTAATCCTTGTCGGGACCCAGCGGAAATGTCGCCGACACTATCTGGCCCGTTATGAACAAAGTGAAAAAGCTGGCTGTCGATTTGGCACCCAATTCATTTGGCGTTTGGGCATTTGTTGGACGTTTGCTTTTCTTTTGTTTTTGCTTGGGCGACACTTTGTTGGTGTCTTTGTCGTCCTCGTTGCCCTGGTTACCCGTTTCCTCGTCCTCGTACATTGCTTGCGACTGTTCAGGGGGTGCGTTGAGCTCAAACTGGTTTGCATATAGCTGAAAGTTTTACAATCTACCGACTGGGCTGTCATTGTTCAGTGTTGTAAAGTGTCGCACAGGAATATCCCTTGACTCCTACTGCTTTCAGTTGATCAGAAAGTATTGCATACTTTCAATGTCGATAAAAAGCAAATTAAATACATTGCATTCATGAATGTATTATTTATTTATTGTCCTTTTTTTTAAATTTTTTTTTGTATTATTGTTTTATATTTTTTGATCGATTTTACAACTAGCAAAAATTATATTTAATTCATCATTTATTTGTATATATCTTAGGTATTTTATTTGTTTTTTATTCTGTATATATAGTTTTTTTTTTTTTTTTTTTTTTTTTTAAAAA